CCTGCTCATCCTCTCCCACCCACTTGCAACTTCCTACTCCCTTCCCTTCCAGTCTTTCTTATCAACACTTATTCTCCCTACTATAGTATCTTTGAATCTTTCAATTTCTGCCATAGTGCAGATGTTCAGTACAGGCTGGGTGGGGATATCTATCTCACTATATGACTTTAAAATACATTATAGGGGACCAGCAGTTAGCGTAATGACTATGTCGCTGGACTCCCATGTAGTCGACCGCTGTTTGCATCCCGGACCCAGTGGCTTAAAACTCACGCTGGGCGCATGTGCGTGCATACCCAAGATCCCAAGAGGAGAATGGAGGAGAAGGGATTGCAGTGTGGCCATTTCCCCTGGGGGGTGATTTCTCGCTTTCTGTCTCTCTGTCTCTCTCTTTCTGGTGAGGGCATATGCCATATAGCAAAAACATCTAAAAAAAATACATTATAAAACAGTGACAATCAAAACAGTATGGTACTGGCACAAAAATAGACACATTGACCAATGGAGTATACTAGAGAATCCAGAAATAAACTTCAAATCATACAACCAACTTACCTTTTCTTTCTTTTATACTTTTTTTTTTGGGGGGGGAGGTTTTTGGTATAGGGCGTATGTGCTCGCCAGATAGACAGGGAGAGATGTAGAGACAGAAAGCGAGAAATCACCCCCCCGGGCGGGGGGGACGGCCATGCTGCAATCCCTTCTCTTCCATTCTCCTCTCGGGATTTTGGGCATGCAAGCACACGCGCCTGGCGTGAGTTTTAAGTCACCAGGTCCAGGACTCAAACCATGGTCAACAACAGGGGAGTCTAGCAACATAGCTGTTATGCTAACTGCTGATCCCATAACCAACTTACCTTTGACAAAGGGTACAAGAGAATACATTGGAGAAAAGAAAATCTTTTCAGTGAGTAGTGATAGAAGAACTGGATATTCCTTTGCAGAAAAATGAAGTTGGACCCCTATCTCTCACCATTAAGAAGAATAAACTCAAAATAGATCAAAGATTTAAATGTAAATCCTCAAACTATAAACCTTGGGGGAAACTCTTAAAGTCACTGAAGTAGGCAGAGATTGGAAGCTCAGAGATGATTGTCCTCTGTGGTCCAGGGATAATAGGAGGGAGTATTTTAAGCCTAGGTTCCTTCTAGTAATGGAGATGACAAGATACTGAAGTATAAGAGGCCAGGAAACACTTTTTAGTTTTCATAATCATAGTAGATACAGTATAATGAACCAAGAGTCTGAAGTATTAATCAGCATAACCTAACCTTCAGAGAACCATGAAGAAAATTAATAGAATGTGTCCCCCTACTCAGGTTCAAGGTACATGATCAGATAGCAAGGATATTTCTTGATTTGTATAATTAAGATAAACCAAGAACAGATTAGCAGAAGACTTAGATCTTTAAAGGGTATACTCATAGTACTACTGTTTAGGATTGTGATTAATATAAAATAAATATGCTTGGAATAATGCTTGGCATATAATAATGTTTGGTAAAGTTTATCTATTATTATAATTTTATTTCTATCCCAATGTCCATGTTTTTCCATGGACTATATTCCATGCTGCTATATGTTTTAAATATTTTCTTCATTTTTATGTTAAAATAAGCACCAAGTATATTATGGTTATGTAAGATATTTAACAGTAAAAAAAGGCAGATGAAAAATATTACATAAACTAAACTATCTATAGTAATTTTTTTTTGGAGAGGTTTTTGCTATAGGCGTGTACACTCGCCAGAAAGACAGAGAGAGACAGAGAAACAGAAAGTGAGAAATCATCCCCCCAGGGGAAATGGCCACACAGCAATCTCTTCTTCTCCATTTTCTTCTCGGGATCTTGGGCACACACACACACGCACACGTGCTCAGCGTGAGTTTAAGCTGCCAGGACCGGTACTCGAACCACAGTCAATTACATGGGAGTCCAGAGACATAGCCATTACGCTAACTGCTGGTCCCTCTATAGTATCTATTCAAATTTTTTGTACACCTAAATTTATTCTAAAAGAAAAAGGGGGGGAAGTAACCACTACTTTTAATCTCATTAAAAAGTGGAATAAGTAAAGCAAATCTGAAAAAAAGAGCTGAAATATACTTCTCAATAGTTGAAATTTTTAAAAAATATACTTACAGGAGCACCCTGTGGCCCAAGTCTCCCTCTCTCTCCTGGCATTCCTCTTGGTCCCTGAAGATGAGAGAGAAAAAACATTCCTTAAAGCATATAATTTGAATTCTAGGGTACTTTAACTATATTATTCAATCCAACTGAGATTCAATAAAATTGGCTACCAACCAGCAAGATTTCTAAGACCAAGTGTGAGTTTCAAAAACTCTCCACTAATGAATATTGGTAACCTACCACTTCTTATGTAAACAGATTTCACTAAACTTAGTTTTGAAGAGCTGAATCTACAATAAGCCTGATTTGATCAATTACTAAGAAAAAGAATAAGGGCATTCAGCAGTTGAGAAAGACTGATTTACAGGAAGAGCCCTTTTCTGTTAAAAGAGACTAGTTTTCTAGTTGTGTTTGTCAGCTGGTAATCAATATTATTTCATTAGTTAACACGCCATTCTTCAAATCTTTATATTTTTAAGTTCAGTCTCTTACACAATATTAAAAAAAGAATACAAATATGGTCCAGCTTCAGTGCTGAAGCTGTAGCAAAATGCTCCACAATGCTGAAGTCCATGTGGAAGATCAAGGTTTGTTTCCTGGTTCAACTTGTATGTGCTAGGCAGTATGACACATAGGTGCCCATCATCCTCATTGTCTGCAAAAGGCTAGCGGAAAGGATTACAGCATGAGACTTCATTGATGGTGCTTCTGTCTATCTATCTGTCTCACTCCATAAATAAACTAAAAGAAAAAAAAAAAGAAATCAATACTTACCAGAGGACCCATGGCACCCATTGGACCAGTAGGGCCAGCTTCACCCTAAAGCAAAAATGAGATTACATATGAGAAACCACCAAATGATATTTATATCACCTATTCTGAATGTATTATTTTTTTTAAATACAGGGTTTTATTTTTACATGATTCCCCTGTATAAGTCTCTCAGGTAGGGTAATAGGCATAAATTGTGTTTATAATTCTGAAGGTCTTTTTTCAAAGATAGTATTTGAAAAGCACACTTTTAATGAAAGATCTCAGAAATGTTTTGTATTATCACTTCTCAAAATAAAATAGAAATTTAGTTTCTTTAGAAATAAGCCTAAAACAAAAGATTTAAATAAATTGATAGATATGCATAACTAACCACAGTAATTAGTCTCAAAAAGTAACTATATCTATGCCAAAGATGCCTAAAGCGAAATTTCACAATGCTGAAATTGAATGTAATATTCCCCTAAGATTTATTATAAGAAACTTAAAACCTAGGGTCAGCTGGTAACACAGCAATGATGAAATACTCTGAGATGTTAGACCCCCATAGGAAGGTCATAGTTTTGTGGTCCAAGGTCTCCTTGTACACACTTGATGTGCACACATGTGCTGTGATTTGATCTGGCTTAAACTGAGAGCTAAGGGTGGATCGCAGCATGAAGACCTTGTTGGGGGGAGCAAGAGTGTCTGTCTCTCTCTTTCTCTCTTTCATGAAAGAAATGAATAAATAAACTTTCAAAAATTTTAACCAAACCCTTTTACATATGTTTATTTAACAATCCTTCTCATTAAAACATCCTCTACACTTCTTGGGTGCTTTTTTTTCCCTCTGAAAACATAAATAATTTTGGAAACAAACAATAGGCTCTTGGATTAAAAGAGGACTAAATAACACAGTTAATAGATCATCTAAACTTCTCAGATATTTTTTTAAAAGAACAAGTGAACATTCTGTATTGAGTGGATTTGTGGAGCCACCTTCATCATACATCATCATACATCATCCTCCTTTGGCAGAAACCCAGAGCTATGGTGGCTATTCTTGGTAGCATAGTTAGGTCATGTCACCTATATTGGTAAAGCCTATACCACTCATCTATGAAAAATTACAGGCATTTACCTAACAGCCACCTATTTATACATCTCTTTCCCCCTGAAATATTTAAGGTGGCTCCGAAAAACACGTAGGTAGTTGCAGAAGAACTGAAATAACAGAGAGAGGTTACATCAAGATAGTATGCAAATACCTTGGAACCAGTTGCTCCAACTTCACCTTTAGGGCCTTCAAGACCTTTATGTCCCTGAAAAGAAAAGTATAAATTTGTGTTTGCATCCTGGGTTTCTTTGGTTGGTTTTTTGTTTTGTTTTGTTTTCTTATTCTCATAGCATAAAGAAAGAACCGAAAGTAAGTTCACAGAAAGTGACTTGTGGAAATAAATCTCAAATTTAAAGTTGTTACTCAAAATATTTCCAACTGCTCACCTTTCTCTCTGAAAGTCTACTTTAAGAAAATTAAAGCACAGTTAGCTGGTGGTGTGGTGGTTAAGGCAGCTGGTTCCCACATAGCCAACCAACCCCATGGCTTGAGTCCTGGCTACAGTGGCATCAAAATCATGCCTGGCACAAGTGCATACATGCCGAAAATCCTAAGAGGAGAATGGAAGAGTGGTGATTATGGTGTGACCATCGTCCCTAGGGGGTGATTTTTCACTTTCATTCTCTCTCTCTCTTTCTGTCTCTCTCAAGCAAGTGCACATGCCCTCTACCAATACAAAAAAAAAATAGAGTTTTTTCCTTTAAATAACATTTTTAACTTGCAATTTCTGCACCCTTGAAGTACTTGTGACATTGTAGATATTTAATCTATAGTTACAAAGAAAAAATCTTTTGGTGGCTTTAGAGAAAAGTTATAGATTTCTAAAACATGACCTAATCCAGAGTGATATTTAAAATAGTAATAAGTAGTACACCAGCAAAAGTTATAAAAGAAGTGTGCTATTTTCCTCCAAGTCTCAATTTCCTGAACCCCTCCTGTGCCCTAATATATCGTCCACTTGTGTCATGTCACTTACTCCACTATGTAGTTATTACTTCTTTTCTTAACTGCATCACTTATTAGCCCAAAGCTGTATCCATATCACAGTATTCAATACATAGTAATTTTTTTTCCCTCTGAAAACATAAATAATTTTGGAAACAAACAATAGGCTCTTGGATTAAAAGAGGACTAAATAACACAGTTAATAGATCATCTAAACTTCTCAGATATTTTTTTAAAAGAACAAGTGAACATTCTGTATTGAGTGGATTTGTGGAGCCACCTTCATCATACATCATCATACATCATCCTCCTTTGGCAGAAACCCAGAGCTATGGTGGCTATTCTTGGTAGCATAGTTAGGTCATGTCACCTATATTGGTAAAGCCTATACCACTCATCTATGAAAAATTACAGGCATTTACCTAACAGCCACCTATTTATACATCTCTTTCCCCCTGAAATATTTAAGGTGGCTCCGAAAAACACGTAGGTAGTTGCAGAAGAACTGAAATAACAGAGAGAGGTTACATCAAGATAGTATGCAAATACCTTGGAACCAGTTGCTCCAACTTCACCTTTAGGGCCTTCAAGACCTTTATGTCCCTGAAAAGAAAAGTATAAATTTGTGTTTGCATCCTGGGTTTCTTTGGTTGGTTTTTTGTTTTGTTTTGTTTTCTTATTCTCATAGCATAAAGAAAGAACCGAAAGTAAGTTCACAGAAAGTGACTTGTGGAAATAAATCTCAAATTTAAAGTTGTTACTCAAAATATTTCCAACTGCTCACCTTTCTCTCTGAAAGTCTACTTTAAGAAAATTAAAGCACAGTTAGCTGGTGGTGTGGTGGTTAAGGCAGCTGGTTCCCACATAGCTAACCAACCCCATGGCTTGAGTCCTGGCTACAGTGGCATCAAAATCATGCCTGGCACAAGTGCATACATGCCGAAAATCCTAAGAGGAGAATGGAAGAGTGGTGATTATGGTGTGACCATCGTCCCTAGGGGGTGATTTTTCACTTTCATTCTCTCTCTCTCTTTCTGTCTCTCTCAAGCAAGTGCACATGCCCTCTACCAATACAAAAAAAAAATAGAGTTTTTTCCTTTAAATAACATTTTTAACTTGCAATTTCTGCACCCTTGAAGTACTTGTGACATTGTAGATATTTAATCTATAGTTACAAAGAAAAAATCTTTTGGTGGCTTTAGAGAAAAGTTATAGATTTCTAAAACATGACCTAATCCAGAGTGATATTTAAAATAGTAATAAGTAGTACACCAGCAAAAGTTATAAAAGAAGTGTGCTATTTTCCTCCAAGTCTCAATTTCCTGAACCCCTCCTGTGCCCTAATATATCGTCCACTTGTGTCATGTCACTTACTCCACTATGTAGTTATTACTTCTTTTCTTAACTGCATCACTTATTAGCCCAAAGCTGTATCCATATCACAGTATTCAATACATAGTAAAAACTAAAAATATATTTGTAGAATCAAAGGAAATTCCAATAAAATGTAAAAAAGCATTTTGATTTCAATAGCCACAGATGATACTGCAAGAACTGTCAATTAAAGACAAATGACAAATGGAATTGTAAAGATTTCAAAGGCAATATTCTCTCCTACTCAGTAAACTATAGTATCTGAGATGATTACAATGGATTGAACTTACTCGGTGACCCTTCAGGCCAGGTAGACCAGGAGCCCCAGGAAAGCCTCGAGCCCCCTAAGAAAAACAAAATACATAAGGCATTTTCGAGTCATAATTAAAAATAGGAAATTGCTTCATATATTTTTTGTTTCCAAAATATAATCTGGTACAGTTTTTCACTGCTATACTAAACAAGAAAAAAGGGCAGCATACTTTAATCTGTTAAAATATATCTGGGTGATGGAAAATTAGCAAAGCAAACATACTATAAGAAATAAAAAACATAACTTACACAAAAACATGAATTAATGTCAGCTACTGATTTGATGACATTTTCAAGTTTTCAAATGATATCCCTGTGTTTTAATTAGTAGCAGAAGAAACTACAAGTAAATTCACATGAATCATCATGTTCAATGTGTGAATCAACTAGATTAAGTATAGGAAAAAAATTTTGGAGAATAATTTAAGTAAAAGTATACTTTCTTTCCTTTATATTGGATTTTGTTTGAGGTGTAAAAGTAAATGCACTTGTAGCAAGCCAATGTTTGTCATTTTCTCTAAACTTCTGAATATTAACAACAGAATGATAGGATTTTATTATATGATCAAATTTTTTTAAATGAAATGTTTAAGAGAAGCTTTGTAGATTTATGATTGTTTAAAAAACAGTGAGGAAATACAATATGCAACAGAAAGAAAGGTCAGGTAATATAAGAAAGACATCATTTTTCACACAGTTTCTTAATTTCTGATAATTCTAAGCAGCTCCCACTGAAGCACATTAAATAATAAAACCATAGATATCCAACAGTGGCATGATGATCAAGACAACTGGATCACACATGGCCAATGATGTGGTTCAAGTCCCAAACCCATGGCATGAAAAACATGCTGGCCACATGTGTGTGTGTGTGTGTGTACCCAAAATTCCAGAAAACGAGAGAGATGGTGAACAGGCATAACCGTTCCCCATGGAGGGTGCTTTCTCATGCTCCCAACTCCCCATCTCTCTCATGCAAGCATGTATATTCTCTAGCAAAAGAAAAAAAAAACGGGGGGGGGACACAAATGCAAGAGAAAAATCAAATCTACTAATAAAACTATTTTGAAATTATGCTTGAAACTTTTTCTTTGTCATCCCTTAAAATAGACCAGAGACTTCATTATTTATATATTCTCATTGCATACATCAAGTTGGCTTTGCATTTAATTGCCATTACCAATGTAACTGTAGATTGAGCACCTCGATATCATAGATTGAAGCTATCAGCTATTATTCATCATTAAGTATTATTATTATTATTATTATTATTATTAATCTCCATATTCCCTGGCACTTAATGTCTAACCCAGTTAGTTTTCATTTAATCATTAATCATTAAATAAACATATAAATAAAGAAGTGGTCTAAGATTTACTTGTCTCACACTGCTTAACATAAATCTTTCTTCAAAAAGTTCTCTTGTCTGAGCACAATCTTACATGGATAGCAAAATCCTTATGCTCTGCACATTATTGGTTTAATTCACTATTTACTAAATGACTGAATAAGCAACTCGATAAATGAACGTAATATAAAAACATCAAAGCAAGGGAACCAGCAGTTAGCGTAATGGCAAGTATGTCTTTGTTATGTCTTGTAAGGAAAAGTTTATTTTACTTTTTTTATTTTTTTTTGTAGAGAGAGTTATCACAATGAGAGTATATCAAATCACGTTCCCTGAATAAATGAGTCCCACTAATTCTTCTGTTTCTACATCTCTGGTTAGGAATGCTTTGACAGGCAAAATGCTGTAAGTTTTTTGACTGGAGCGCTCCCTTGTATTGCTTTGTCTCCCCTCTATCTTGAACAAGCCATTCAGTACCCATCTAAACCTGAGGAATAACTGAGTTATCGCAAATAATAGGTTAACTGGTTTTTATGGCCTGTGGGGAAATTCTCATGTGATTACATATCCCTAATATAACAAGAAAATGAACCAGATGTACTAATGCTCATAAAAAATGTTCGTTCTGCTGACCCAGGACTGTCATCACAGTGCAGTCCCACGCTGCCGCACTGAGCTCGCAGAGCGCATCTGTGCTGTGCTGGCAGGGCACTGCTCCTCCTACAGAGGGGCCACGCTGTGAGTGTGTACGAGAATGCAGCAGGACAAGAGGGTCATGCCTGGAACGGTCGAGAAAGACATCTGCACTGATGACTAAACCTCCTGCTTCTGCCTGCATTTACTTCGCAAGCTGACGAGGGAAGAAAAAGAAAGCAGGGGGTTGGTTTTATATTTGAAAATAAATATTCTTAGTTTTCTGTAAAAGATCAGCTTTCGTTTGTTTTGAAAAGAAAATTAAAAATCCTCACATCGAACCTCATCAATTTTCACAAAGTAAACAGAGAGTAATGCATTACTGTTGGTTGTATGGAACGGTAGAAGCATTGGAAACATAATAGGATATAAAAGTAGGAGACTGAATTAGTGCAGGGACTGTTGGGGAGGAGAAACTGTAAGAATAGGAATCTTCAAGTATGTTTTTTTTCTTTTTTTTTTTTTTTTCTTTTTGGCTTGTTTTTCTTTCTCTAATTTTCCCCATTGCCTGTTTGGCACATCCCAGAGAAGGGTCTAGCAAAGTAATGCGTCAGCGAAAGGAAGGGTGCAGGGTATGTCCAGGTGGCCAAGGATCTAGCCCTGGGGTAAGCCAAGAGAGGAGAAAGCAGCTGTGTTAGGAGGGCTGGCAATCAGCATATCCTGTGATAAGATTATAGGGCCCAGAACGTTAATCAAGAATCTCAACTGAAACAAGGATTAGGGAGCAGCCAGAGAGGTATCCTGACCACAATTTATTGTCCCCAGCTGATAAAATCTAGACAACAAACTCTCTTTCAAACTACTGCTTTAGACATGTGGAACAGTATAAAAGTATTGAAAATATATAAAAAAGATAAACAGGATTGAGATGCTGTAAATTGTAAATAGGAACCGGTGGCAATTTCAGAAAAAAATTAATTTCTGAAAATTCAGTACTCAGTTTGGAGTATGTAAGGTTGCAATATAATTCTCTGGCTCTCGGAGTGTTACTCATCTGGTGCTAACACAAAGCAGAGAGCTGGAATTAGCTATTGCTCTTGTGAAAAAGCCCTGTGACATTTTACAACTTGATAAAAGGAACATTGTTTGTTTGCCTTTACTTGGTGTTTTATACATGTGTGTGCAATGAATTGTGAGTTCATTTTACTTTAATTATTTTTTTCTTATTAGCTGGATATATTTTTTTCCCAAACACTGTTTCTAGTACAGAAAACTAGCATTGCAGTCTAGTTGTATAATGGTTTGTTCACATAAACCAGTATATATTCATCCTTGAGAGAAAAAAGTTCTAATGGGGGTAAGCGGTGGGTGGTGTGATGGTTACGGAGCTGGAGACTCACACATGGCTGACCACAGTTTGAGTCCTGGTGGCTTGCTTTCTAACTTTCTCTTTCTCTGTCTCTCTCTCTCTCTGTCTCTCTCTGGTTAAATTAAAAATAAATAAATGAATAAATAAAGTTAAATAAATATTTTTTAAAAAAAGAAAGTTCTAGAAGAAAATAGTACCACGCATTGAAAAAAAAGTACGAATGGCGCATACCCGATTGAAATTCAGGACATCTCCCATATTTTCTCTCTTTGGTTTTCTTTGTCATCATATTTTTTTAAAAAATAAGTAAATATTTTCAATGTTTGTTCAAAAGAAGGCCATATAGGTTGTTTGGTAGTGGAGGAGAATTCAGAACAGTTGTTGCGCACTTGGGCGTTCTCCAGAGTCTGCTCCAGACTAGCAGTTAATATTCTATTTCCAACTCATTTTTATTTTAAAAATATATTAAAAATTCTCCAAAAATCAATTCTACAAAATCTCTAAGAAAAACACAAGAACATGATGCTGAGGTTAAAAAACACCTGAGGTGGCTTTTTTGGTGTGTTTTTCTTATTAAAATAATCCATAAATTAAACATCCTGGGCCAACAACCTTGTGTAAATTGCTATTTTCCTCCATTTATTTAAAAAGAAAGAAATTATTCTGCTGAATAGAGAAGGCTTGTATACCAAAATGTAAAACAACAAAATGCATTATTTCTTTGTGGAATTTTTGGTTGGTAGGTTGCTTTGGTGGGTTCCTATTTTTCTCTTCCAAAATGCTAAGACAAGGACCATTGACGACGACTCCTTTGAGTTACAAGGTGGTAAGTTGAGGCTGATTTGAGTGTTTCACTTCTGTTCCTGTGTGTGATATGATACTCAGAGTACTGCTTAGCCTGGGTGAGGGGAGGTGCATAGACACAGAGAACTGAAACTGAGGGACCAGGTATTCAAAAGAATGAGGATGAAGAAGAGGAAATAGGGATGGGAAGAGAAAAACAGAGATGAGACAGAGAATTCTATAACAGCAAGCAAAAACTAAAACAAAAACAATTTAGCACATGTGAAGAGAAGAGAAATGGATACGTGAGCTACAAAGGGATGAAGAGAGGCAGAGTTTCCGTTCAAGGAGACAGTACCCTGGGAACTGCCAAGAGTGTCATTTGGACACGATTCCCCAAGAGTGCATTTTGTGTGAGTTAATCTGAATGTCCTCTGGTTTTTGAAGTTTATGTTTGTATTATTATATCGATAGGTTAAAAACTTACCGGAGATCCTGCAAATCCTACTTCACCAACGTTTCCATTTCTACCAGGTTCACCCTTGTGAGGGGAAAAAAAGAAGTGAAGAGGAATTTAAATGTTTTCCTCTAAGACTAGTAGACAAATAAATAGCAGATAAGTCTTTGCAAATAAAACATCTTCTTTAAAAAGTTCATGTGGGGTCAACAAGTGGTGTGGTAATTAATGGGCTAGATTCCCTCATAGCCAACAGTGGTTCAAATCCCAGACCTGGTGGTTTGTTTTCTCTCTTTCTCTCTCTCTCTCTCTCTCTCTCTCTCTCTCTCTCTCTCTCTCTCTCTCTCTCTCTCTCTCTCTCTCTCTCTCTCTCTCTCTCTGATAAGTACTTGTGCTCTAAAGCAAATTAAACCAAATAATGATAATAAATAAAAAAAATTTAAAGATTATGTGCAATGCTCTAAATACTGTAAACCAAACAAAAATAAAAACTTGTTTCTATTACTGATAGAAATCCATTTTATAAGTCAGTTTGTGAAACTTTCACTAATTTTCCAGAAGAAATGGATATACATTATCCCAGTCTGATCTAATTAACTGCATTATCACATTTGCACACACAAAAACACACATACCTATACATACATGCTATGAAATTCCATGTGACCATGGGGCGGTGAATTAAAACACTACTCCTTAAAATATTACTTGCCCTTTCTTTTCTTGTGATAAAGAAATACATTGATGAGATATCTTCTCTATGACCAAATTAATACAATATTCTTAAATAAATATCATGACTTACAAAGAGGAAGTATTTACTTGGACTAGTGTCATATAAAAATTAATCACATACTCTTAATTTTATCCTCTATTTTGATACAACTAAAAAACTAATCTAGAAAAGTAACTCTACATTACTAAATCACATTGTTCAGTAACTACATGTTTCTGATGTTAAAATCTGGAGTTGAGTCTTAACTTTCATTAAAAATCCAACTGAAGACATTATTTATTTTTGCACTGGGAAGACATATTGATATTATATCACTATAGTCCATTAATGAGGACATCATAATAATGTATTGCCATCAGCGAAATGTATATACATATTTTTCAGGTCTTCAGTGGTTCCACCAGCAACAGTTGTAGCTATTATGACAATAATTTTAGTATCTCATGGAGACGGCTTAGTGGAAAACCTGGGGTGTGCAGACATTCCCTAGTAATATTATACTATCGAAGTTAAAAGCCCTTTTAGAACGTCCCATTCTGAATTCCCCAGTTTAGATTTAATTTAGTAGAGGCTTAAATGTGGAGATAATGAAGCGGGAATTGATGCAGAACATTCTTGTTAATACTGTAGCTCCTTCTTCACACCTTCAAAATTTCAAAGCAAATTTCAAAAGGTAGCTTACATCTTCACCAGGTTTCCCAGGAGGGCCCTCTGGCCCACGTGCACCAATGGGACCCTAAAACAACACAAAAAGAGGAAGAAGAATATTTACCTATACCTAGCAATGACAGAATCCAAACTATTGTTGAAACAAGTAAAAATAACCAGAGAAAATAATTTCATTAATATTTTGAATTTTATGTTGTATTCCTGAGATTGTGCTGGGCGGGAAGGGGGGAGGGAGTTAACTACACAAATGCAAATACCTCAGCACTCCCTACTGACTATATTTAGACTGAATTTAAATGCTCTGCTACAAGGAATATATTACTTAAGTACAGTCTAGGATTTAAGGCTCCCAAACTGAATTGTCATTACTTGCTACATTATGAAGATCTGGGGAAAAAAAGTAACTCATAACATCATTATGATAGTGGACCCATAGATAATTGGGCCAACATGCTTACTTGACATTTACCATTGGTCCAGGATCACCAGGTTCACCAGGAGGTCCTGTTGGTCCTACACCACCCTAAAATTGAGAACAAATAATATGTGCAAACCAAAAAAAAAAAACAGAACAGTAAGTTCTATACTCTCTGTAATTCAAGGAGGTCTTCAAAAAGTTCATGGACAAAATTTGTTAAAAAAAAAAAAAAAAAAAAAAAAAAAAAAAAAAACAGAACATTAAGTTCTATACTCTGTAATTCAAGGAGGTCTTCAAAAAGTTCATGGACAAGCAATTTTATGAAAAAGTACATATGGGTTTCAAATTTCTTTTTTACACCTATATTTCATTCTTTTATTCCAATTGTCATGAACTTGTTGTAGTCCCCTCAAATATAGTGTAATAGTTTGGATTGCTGGCTCTATTAGTCATCAGCTATGAGACTTCGATCAAGTTACTTAATCTGTCTTTAAGTCTGTCCTAATCTGTACAATGAGGCAATGAGAATAATAATGCTTACTTCATTAAGGTTGTTATGGCTATTGAGAAAATCAATAGGGTTTTCTAGGATTACAGAATAGGGCTGACACAGACTGAGTATCCATTCAGTAGTACTATCATCACCATCATCATCTTCATCACCATCATCAGCAAATACCTTTTCTATTTATGAGTAACTTGATATAAAACTCCATACACATAATAAAGACAATGTGGTAACTTCGACTCAGCTAAAGAATCTTTTCTTTCTTTCCAAAATCAGTTTCCTAATGCCTGGTAAGTCACTACAGAAAATAAAATAGCTCCACATTACTAATTTATTGGTATTGATGGGTATAGTAAGAAAGCATATAGTATTATGTTTTTAAAAATAATTCCATGGAGTGACTTTCTTGAATGTTATTTCAAATAATGTTATGTGGGGATCACCTTGTGTCATCTGATTACATTACTCAGAGTTGGAACATAGCCAATTACGATACTTGCATCATGATATAACATCTGTTATTTCAAAAGCAAAGGCACAAATTCTTGATGTTGGATGTCAGTCATGTAAAGAAATCAGATAACAATTTAGCCTCATGAAGAAACTAAAAAAATACTGCACATATTTCTAAGTGAGTGAAAATTATTTAAGGCATCCTATTAGAAGTGAGTGTTACAGTGTGCAATTTGAAGACCAGCCAAAAGCAGTCATGTTTCATAGACCTAATTTGTTTTATTACTATTTTTAGTTTACTATGTACTTCATTTATAAAAAGACTTACTTGTTGCCCTTGTAAACCTTGAGGTCCTCTTGGGCCAACAGGACCCTTGAAAACAAATGAGAAGAAAACTTTCATAGTATGCATAACAAATAGGTCAAATATTTCAAAAACATTGAATCAGCTTTAGAATCCAGAAAAATGAAGCTGACAGAGGATGATGACATTCTCCCAATGTACTCAACTAGAAGGCAGATAACTCCAAAGTTTAAAACTTGGACCACATTAGGGATGATTTTACACATACCCTCAGTGTCATAAAGTAAAGTAAATGATATGCCTATGTACACCCAATGTTTTTTAGGACAAGAACAGTTGCATGCTTAAATAGTTCTGCTAAGCCAGAATATCAAAAAGAAAAAAAAAAAGGAAAGAAAGCTCTTGGTAGGCATAGTTATCAAATTACCTATATAATTCTATGGCTTCATGGCAGTTAATTCTCTCTAACAACATAAATGAAGATTTTTGAATTAAAGGCTTATAAAACTATCAACAATAATGACTAGATTATTTTAAATGCCAGTTTGAAATTATCGGGAGCACTGAATTTTCTGGTTATTGCTTTCTTTTTGGCATATATGAAAGAAACTGTGTGGGCTTTTCTCATTTAAATACAAAATTATTACAATGAAGCATAACAAAAGTAAGAAAGGGAAAATGCAGATCTAGAAAATGTATTAACATATATCAGTACGATTTTTAAAAGGTAAAGTTAATTAGGCCCAGCCATAGTGGTGTGGCAGTTACACATGCTCTACAACACTGAGGCCGTATGGAATATCTAGGCTTCATTCCCCAGATGACCTGAACATGTAGAGAACACACATGCCTATGATCCTGGGTGGTAAGCAAAGGGTTGGGGGAAGGATCATAGCATGAGACATTGTTAAGAAAATTTTTCTCTTTTTCTCTCCGAGGCAGTAAATAAGTTTTTAAAAATAATTTAAAAGTAAAACTAATTAGGTTAAAATCAAGCATATTCTTACAGCAAAACTTATTTTTTTTTTAATTTTGGATTGATTAAATATTTTAGCTAGTAAGAAAGTAAAAGCTTCATTAAAAAATAAACTCATATGAGGGCCAGCAGTTGGTGTAATGGCTAGATCGCTGAACTTCTATGTAGTTGACTGCCATTCAAGTCCCGAACTTGGTGGCTTAAACTCACGCCAGGCACATGTGCATGCGTGCCCAAGATCCTGAGAGGAGAATGGAGGAGAAGGGATTGCGGCATGGCCATCCCGTTGGGGGGTGATTTTTCGTTTTTTATCTCTCTCTCTCCCTTTGAACTTGGTGGCTTAAACTCACGCCAGGCACATGTGCATGCGTGCCCAAGATCCTGAGAGGAGAATGGAAGAGAAGGGATTGTGGCATGGCCATCCCGTTGGGGGGTGATTTTTGTTTTTTATCTCTCTTTCTCCCTTTCTCTGTCTTTCTGGCGAGCGCACACACTCTATAGCAAAAACCTCTCCAAATAAATAAATAAACTCATATGTAATATAAACTCTAAATGGATTAAAAACTCATGCCAATATAATAATTTAATGACACCATACTATTGCTAACTTTAAAAATATACAATTTTTACAATTTTTAAGGTGTTTATAATATCAGTTGTAGGACACCATACTATTGCTAACTTTAAAAATATATAATTTTTAAGGTGTTTATAATATCAGTTGTAAGGAAGAGCAGAAGGGTGATTATCTTTGAGGTCTGATTTTGTTATTGCTATGCCCAAAATCTCATTAATCTAGGATGCCTTTGAATTACATCATGAGCAAATCAGCAAAGGAGAGTTACGTTTGAAAGTGTTAAGTCAATGTGATTTCATTGCTCCAAATACTCAGGTTAAATTACTTGCCCAGAGAAAATGAGAATCTTTCTGGCTATTGAAGAAATTCAACACAAATATTCAATACAAAGATGATGAGGAAGCCCAGCCAGGCTTCAATTTGTTGAAATAAGGAAGCCAGACAATATCAAGATACGTAGGAAAGAATAAAAATAGAAGTTAGTGACACATCTCATTTCAAAATTTTGCGCAGTCACTCTTTCTAACACCACCATAAAACATTTTTGTTTTTATTTTTTATTTTAAAGGTACAGTTTTCACTGTGGTAGTAGTTGCCGTTATATGACTTAAAAGCCTTTATTGTCTTCAAATATTAAATGACATATATACACAACCCTTATTAATGTCAAGAAATACTTTGCATAGTTATGAATGAAACACCCCTGGGCTCTTCACTGGTACATAGTAAAATTAAACAGGTGAAAACATAAATGGATGTGCTAAGAAGATCACATGTAGGTTTTTGAGAAGATAACTCACAACTTTGTTTTTATAATTATTTTCTGACAAATACTTTGATTATCAGCGAAATCCATGCTTACCACAGAGCCAGGCATCAATCCTACTTGACTTCCAAGTCCAGATTTTTCATCTATCCCAGCCATCTGAGCTGAAAATGGCTGTAAAAGCGATATGTTAACATTATTTTCACAGAAAAAGATGGACATTAACAAACTTTACAATTGAGAAATGTACATTCTCTGGAATTCTTAGACTGACTTTTATGAGATCATTTTAATTGTTTGAGTTTAAATCTTGGAAAAAGTTTAATTTCTGTTTTTTATTACAGTGCTTTTGATTGATCATTCTTCTGCAAGAGTGTTCTGTAAGTATGGTGCTTCAGAACTGCTGCAATGGGACAAATGTCTGATATTTAATGAAAGCATTGGTCATTCTGATAAATATTAAGCCAATCTAACTGATTTCATTGATTTCCGGTTTAATCTCTTTATCAGATTTCCTCTCATGGTAAGAGCATGCAAAACATCTGAGCAAAGCCTAAAAGAAGCTTTTTAAAATACATATTTATTTTATATGTCTTATATTTTTATAAGACAAAAATTACAGAACGTGTTTTTTTTCCCAATAAGAACTTTATTAACTTTTGTCTGTTAAACATTTCTTTCCATTTCCCTAATATTCTATATTCCACTTAGACTATTTTGTTTATGTGGCATTCTATTTTTTCTTTGTTCATGGACAGCTTAAATTGTATGTACATAATTTGATAAAAAAAATTGTATAGCTCTTTTAATGAATCCCTGAATGTTCCAAGAATTAGAAACAGTTTTAACGATCTTCTTTCATAACCGAAAACCAGCTAATCAAGCTGACTAAAATTGTTCATATACATTCCAGGAGTTTTATTAATTTCCAGATTTTAGTGGGAAAAGAATATGCATATGGTTCAAAGGAAAATTGGCCATTTCTCCTACAATCATTTGAGAAACAGATGTATTAAGCTGTTTTAAAACAAAAATTGTATTCAGACTCCATATGTTTCCTTGTTATGCTATGTAATCTACTCAAATTCTCTGTGTATGCCACTAACAATTCAACAAGGTAGATACAGAAAGACATTATGTTTATTTTACTTCAGGTGGGAAATAACTAGGCAGCATTTTCAGTGTCAATTCAACGGCCTCATATACATTATCATGAATCTGTCCTTTTCTCTTGGTGTGAAGAATATGGCACAGCTTTTGTCAGCATTCTGAGCCTACAGAACACAGGTCTCTCTCTCTTTCTCTCTCTCCCTCTCTCTTCTTAATAGGGTCAATATATTAGTGGTCCTTTAGAATCGACAGAAAGGGCAAAGTTCAAGGAGTTCAGAACTGACATTGAGAAACACAAATAATTTGAAGAAGCGCATTTTTAAAACGTTACTGTGGGACCAGCTGGTGGTATGATGCTTGGGGAGACTAGATTCCACAGGGCCGACTCCTGTGGTTCTTGGGAAACACGTGCTGGGCACATGTGCATGGGTGCCCAAAATCCCAAAGGGAGAAATGGAGAGAGGAGATGTGGCATGACCATCTCATATGGGAAAGGGCTTTCTCACTCTCTCTCTGGTGAGCACGCATGCCCTCTAGCAAATTAAATAATAATAATAAAGATAAATAAATAAAATGCTACTTTGAATTTTTCAGATAGTCAGTGTGGATTTATTGGGTTTGATTCTTGGTCAGAGTAGTGTTGCATTCACCAACTACTCTTACAGTCAAGTGTTAATAGCCGAACTGACACAATTCAAAATAATGACAATAAATCAATAACTTAGTATATTACCTCAATATGACACTGGAAAATGCACACAACTCACCCTGCTCATGCCATCTGGTCCCGGGTGAGATGGATGTCCAGGGGGCCCCGGAGCACCAGGCTGCCCAGGAACACCTGGTTCTCCATCAATTCCCTGAGGACCACGAGGACCCTGGAAAAACAAGCAAAGGAAATTAGAACCCCCTGCCAGATATGTACACAGTCAAAAACTTAAAGCACAGACTTCCTGAAGGTGGTGGAGTGTTCATTGTTTCAGAAATGAATGATTATCTAGCCACCTATGGCAATTTCACCAGCTACATCGACACCACTGATTTAAGCTTCTACCGCTGGCATATGGGCCAGGTAAAAATGTTATTCGATATATTCAATTCTAAGTGAACAGCTTTCTTGAAATAATTGTATAAATTCGTGTTTAGTTCAACATTGTTCTAGACTGAGCTTTCGTTTTGGGTTGACTTTTGCTTTTCACGGGATTTTAATCAACAATTTCTAAATTCATTTGTCTGTCTTAGATTACAGTAAACCATGTACGTGCCAACTTGGTTTCCTTCTCTCCCCTAAAATGTGAAAACCCCTTGATTGAAATGTGCGGGATTTTAATCTTTCTTACAGTGTAATGCTGTGTATAGTTCCTGATACACAGTAGACATTTAACACAGGCTTTTCACTTTTTTACATTTTAGTGTTCTTTGGTACTTTGACACACTATTTCCTCCTCATCTCCAGAGATAGACAAGACCAATGGGAAGGCAGAGACAAAGGCACTGTGACCCAGTCATGTCTAGTTCTCAGAGAAGTGAGCAATGATTTCTGGCTGCCAAATTCCATCCTTCTCCTAACCCACATTTCGAAGGCAGCTTGGGGAACAGCCACGTACTCAGTTCCGGAAATGCTCTGTCCCTAACCTCATCATTCCCACAAGTCTTGTTAAGTGTTTTCCAGCTCATTAACCCTGAAGAATCTTTACAGACTTTAAAGGCGAAAATAAAAGATCAAAGCAGTTATAAAAGAATATATATTTTATAATTAGTAGCAAACATTGAGAAAAAATACATTAAGTAAATTGGAGTTTAAGTATAAAAGAAGCTTCTCCTGTGTAAATAGGAGAATATCTACCGGGCCACAGTAAGCAATTCAGATATGAGCTGACGATGCAGAGAAGCAAACTAAGGAGAAGTCGAAGTGACAGAGGACAGTATGTAAATGATGATTTTGGGGGGGAGACATAAAAGCTATTCCAAAAAGGAATTAGTACACTTTAATAATTTTAAACATTCATATAGAAATGTTTATCTCGCAGAGCAGTGGGATAAATGAGCAAATTCATCTATTCAAATGTAAGTAGATAACAGCCTGAAAAATTCACATTTTAAAGATTAGTCCTTAGACTATTATTCTCACCTTTTGAAAATCAAATCCCTTTTGACTCCTACACCACTGACAATTCAGTCCATGCTTAGAGATGAGTCTTAAATGCTCTCTAAGACTCCTAGACCATCTGAGTATGTATAACATAAACTTGAATTGTATTTTGTCGATGGAGGCATAAACAAAGAAATAGTCTGATGTTTTCATGCAACCTTAAGTTGAAAGCTGGTTTTGCAATGTTCAATTTCTTATTGAGTCTAGGTATTATTATACACAAAAAAATGAGCTAAAATAGTCTCTGCTCCTTATGAGAGTTCCAACAGAAAACAAAAACTAGCAGTGGCACAGGCAGTAAGATGCTGCCGTGTCATACAGGAGCTGTGTGTGCCCATGATCCTGGCTGGCTAGCGGGCAGAAGGGTAGGGAGATCACAGCAGGACGAGATTCTATCAAGGGTACTTCTTTCTGTCTGCCTCTCTCCCTCTCTCTCAACAAATAAAATATTTATAAATAAATTTCTATGTTTAGTGTCAGTAGGAATAAAGAAAAGTTTGGGTAGTATTAATACTTAAGATGAATTATGTTCACCAGTTTTTTTATTAATAATCATATTGCAAATCTACTCCAAAGACAATCCACACTTTATTGACTTTGTGATCTATTCTGTACTTCTGAGTCATCCTCTCTAAATGGCCTATGTGATTTATTTTTATAAAAATAGAGATGAAAATTAATAAAAGCTTAGTAAAATTATCCAAGATGTAATGAACATAAACAAGATTACAAATGAGAGTAAGGAAAATATAATGCAGGAGCATTTTTATTCGTAAATATGTAAAAACAAATCAATTTGAGAATACGTTAAAAAGATACGTTTTTACATTTGTAAGTGAGCCTTTTTATTATTAGAGTAAACATTCTGTTAATCATCATTTCCTCCCCATCCCCTGGAATCTCTTTAATATCTTAGGCAACCATCTACAGTAAAAAGTACTCATTGATTGCCACTAGGTGGCAGCCTTTAAACAGTCACAAGAAGAAAAGACTGATGACCTAAAATCCACATGAACTTCTTTTACAGCTGGATAATAGTATCACACACAAACATACATATACAAAGTATAAAATGTCATAGCTGGCAAGAGTTAGTATGCTCCCCACTTCACAAATGAAGAAACTGATACCTACAGACACTATGTGTCATGTGTAATATGACCTCAGCACACCACTGACCACCTCCTCACAGGCTGCTAGTTCATGAAGTTACCCAGATGATACACTTAATACTGTACATGCAGTGAGAGACAGCCAAGATTATTACTGTCTAGAACTGAGGCGTTATGAAAGTATCTTCATATATGAGTATATAAATCCAGAGCAATTTTGCCCAACTGAAGTCATCCTCTACCCATCATTCTAGACCTTGGACCGACATCTAGAGAGCTTCCACCCAATAGTGTCTAAGTTACCAACACTGGTAAGGCAGTTCAGAGAGGAGTAAAGGAAACCGTGACATAAAATTATCTGGACACAGCCTTGCTGCTCAGCTATCTGGCTATGCCCAATTTCCTTGGGGCACTGTCATTTACCTACATTTGCCTAGACACACCAACATCATACATAACATCAGGTTTATTTCAGAAAAACTGTTACCATCACACTATCTACTTGGTGACATGTATAGAAGCAGGTAGAATTACAAAAATGAAACTTGGGTCTGAAGTTCCTAGAGACATAATCTATGTTCACATCCATCATCTTTATACTCGAAGTTGCTTGTTACTTCCTTGCTCATCTGTGTTTCCCATTTAGATGTGGACAAATACATATTCAGAAGGCTAATAATCCATTGAGAGTCAAATTTCTGTGGATACTATTACAATGTTAAACAGTACACACTTTTCTAACTGAAATGGGGGATAACAATAGCAGTACAAAGATTAATCCAATTATTTCATGTAGGAAAGATTTTAGATTTTAGAAGTGAGATTAAAAAAAAAAACAGAAAAACATGTAATCCTAAAACTTGAGAATAATATATAACCTGAATAGGTAGGTAATAAGAGAACATTCAGAATATAATATGCAGTAACTTTGTGCTGAATCTCAAGAGTGTGGAGGCAACCGTTTAAATTTAAAGATATACTTTATTGGTAATGGGTTATTGATTTTTAAAATGATTCCTTTGATATCTGTATAAAAGATGTTCAGTGAAAAAGACAGAATGCTTTATAGGGAATAAACAATGAGGTACAACTCCTTGAAAAATATTTTATCCCCTAATAACTTATTTTTCTGTATCCAGTTTGGTTGTCCCTATAGCAAATACAGATCACAGAACTTGGATGTTTTATCTCAACAGGGCAAACTTGGCATTGTTTACTTACCACCAGCAACTTGTAAAAACAGCATGATGTATCAATTATGTTTCCTTAAATTCTATTTTTATTTGAACACACCAAGGACCAAAAAAAATCTTTAGTGTTATAAAACGAGATAACAGGCAATTAGTGCCATGTGATAATTTCACCGGTATTAGGAGAGCTGCAAGAACACTTCATGATCTGAATTCCTTGTATTATTTAATAAAAGTGAAAGAGGAACAGTGCCCCTGGCTCCCTGCTGCATTCAGGGAGCATGGTGTAGACTGGCTTATTTGATACACATTAGCACACACACACACAAAAAAAACATGTCAACGTACAGGTCTTCCTTTTGGGCCTCGCTCTCCTCTTGGTCCTTGTGATCCTGGTGGTCCCTAAAACAGAAAAAGATGATTATGCCTACAAAACACTGGCACTTTGTTTTAAACATTTATAGTTTGTTTTAAAGATTTTCTTGATAAAACAAAATTAGCAAATAGAAATATCATACTTGTCCATTCATTTCCATTGAAAACCATGGAGAATAAAGCCATGAGCATATAAGAATTCTATGTGCATAGAGGTCTGTTTTTTACTACCGAAGCTTGAAGTCCTGTGAAGAACTGGGGGCCACATGATGCACCATGCTGTTCAATGAGCTAAATGTATTAGATGGACTGATAGTCATAACAATTTAAGGATTATGTTTTCCATCTTCTCCCAAGTAAAGCTTCTGCTACTAAACTTTGTTGGCAAAAACTTACAGTATAGTTCTTGAGAACTACATAAATGCAAACCTCCAATTACCAATTATCTGAGGGAATACATGACTTCCCATTGGTCCATGGTACGCCAAACTGTGCATTGCCATTCCGGCTGCCAGTGAAAGCAGCGGAAAGGAAAGCCTCTTAATGCACCACGATATGCACATTCAAGCATCACTGCTTTTATTTTTACTTGATTAGGAATATTGTATCATTTCCATTGCACATTTAAAGTCTGCTTATAATTTTTCAACTAGGTATTGCACTTATTTCTCCCTTAAAATAGTAAACGATTATTACATTTCAAAAGTGGTGTCATTATGCCATTTTAAAATGACTATTCACTTGGGAAATGGCAGTTTTCAGGATTTTATCTCTCTTTAAAAGAGCATTTCAATCAAGGTACAAAGATAAGATTGTGAATTTACTCAGCCTGTCATACAACATTGTTTTTTTAAAAAGTTTAAAATATTTCAGAAGGGCTACAGTAGGTCTTCTAAAATTGCATTGGTATTTTACTTAAGTTGATTTGGTGTGTTTTAAAATTTCCACAAAGTGTATGGGTATATACACATATGTGTTATCAGTCTATTGGGTTGCCAGAATAGTACACATATGTGTTATCAGTCTATTGGGTTGCTAGAATAGATGATGTATTTTTCTATGCAAAAATGAGTCATGACTTTTCTGATGACCCAACAGTTGCTTGTGAATGCTATTGATAATTAAAACTTGAAATAATCAGTCTTAAATTGAACCAGAAATATACTCTCCTGATATGTGGTTTCTAAAATTCTATTGCAATATATGATTAAATAAACAGCTAAAAGTATCTACTCTCAACCATACGCAAACAGACAAGTGTATCTCAATTTTAATGAATAAGGTCTATTTAAAATTAACAGTGTAACAGTAGGTTGTTTGCTTTTCACATAACCAGTAACAATGTTAGCACATGGGAAGTAATAAAGTTCATCAATTTTAGAATAAAGTGATTAACTATGTATCATTCATCATTGCAAAGGAATGCCTAAACTTGAAGATGTTTCAAGACACAATATTTCTAGAAATCATCCTCCATGGTTTTATATCCTATATCCTTCTGGATATAATATCTGTAGATACTTTCAGGATCTCAAAGAACACAGGACAACAGTACCATGAATACTGGAAGAAATTACTTACTGCTGGTCCTGGACGGCCACGAATGCCTGTTACCTGAATGATAAACAAGATAATTGGTAAAGTTAAAATTGCTACAGAGATTCAGAAAAGCCGGTATTCTGATCAACGAGAACAACAAAAGCTCCAGTGAATTATTTTCAAAACAAATGAATTTGACCAACTGATACCCTTGCTTGATGAGTTAAGATGTTGCCAAATGCGAACCCTAATATAAGGAGGCAGTACCAAGTTAGTGTTAAAAGCAACCATGGTAGAGTCAAGAAGCCAGTATTTTAATTCTGCCATTAACTTAGCTGTTGTGTGACCTTGGGCTAATTACTCACTCTGTCTCTGCTTAAGTTTCCTTAAAATGAAACCCTTAAATGGAAACTTAAATGTACAATGGTGATCATTATGAAAGTACCCCCCACCACACACACAGAGTTGTGAAGAAAAGTAAGTATCTGTAAAGCACTTAGTCCCTAAGACATAGTAAGTCCATATAAGTATCTTTAAAGAAAATAAAATATGAATGATTGGTTTGTTAGTTAACCAATGCTAAGCCAATTTAAACCATGGTTTGAATCCCTGGGCAGAGGACTGGAAGGAGGGGAGGGGGGACATTGTGGAGTCTGCCTTTCTCTCATTCTCACGGGCCCTCACAAGTGCTCTAACATGAACAAGAAAGGGGGGAGCCAATTTAAAGGTGAAACAAAAATGTGAGCTCTGTCAAATAAATCAGCATGCACATGCCTTTGTCTTGACAGACTAATGATCACTCCTTTGCAATCTATGGGAATGATGGTTGAAGAACTTAACATTCTCCCTCTTTGATCAGCTGTAAGTCTAATGATGTCTTAAGAATTTTTACACAACGTGAACTTTCAATCAGAATCAAGACACGACATATTTCCAAAAATCTGTATTTAGTGCAACATTAAAATACTATACTATTACTATCACAGTATTTCCACACATAATTTAATTTTGTAAAATCAAACTTCTATACCTTCAGTCATGAGACTGTAAAATTCAGAATTATAGAACAATATACTTTATATTAAATAATCAATTTCAGTTTTCTGTGTTATACTAAAAATTTGGTTAAAAATTTACTAATTCTCTTTTAGGGGAGCATATATAAGCAGTAATATACAGTGATATTATTGACACATTTAAAAATGATATGGTATACTTACAACAGGCACTAAACCTGGTTCTCCTTTTTGCCCCTATAAAGTTAAAAAAAAATCAACTTAGCAAAATATAATGACTTGTTGAGCATGAACATATCACATTTGGATATGTCATTTAAACACAGAATTCCTACATATGAAATGTATAAAGTGAAAAAAGGAAGTTAACAATTTTTAGGATATTTAGACATTACTCATTAAAAAATTTAAGCTTGTCTGACAAACTTGAATACTTTTTTTTTAAATTTGTTTCTTTGGTTTGCCATAAGGCATTTGTTCTTGCTGGAAAGAGACAGAAAGAGGGAAAGTGAGACATCACCTCCAGGACAGATGGCCACACCATGGTCCCTTCTCCATTCTCCTCTCAGGATATTGGGCACTCATGCACACATGCCCAGCATAGTTTTCAAACCACTGGGTCCAGGACTCAAACTGCACTGGCAGCCATGTGGGATCTAGTCACCCCAACCACCACACCACCAGTTGACCACCACACAGGAATAAAAATTAATTCAATGTGTGAAATGTGTAAAGTTGTTTTACTTCAAATCTGAAGAGATCAAATTCAAGAACTGCCTGTAGCAAGAAAGAATTGTGATGAAAAATGTAAAGACAAAGCACCATAGGAAAAACTACACAAAGACTGAAAACAAAAGAAAATAAAGAAATGTGAGTGTTCACTCTCATTACATGAAATGCAGTTTTCAGATGACATTATCAGATGCCATTATCAGATGCCATCCTTGAACCATTTGCTGTGCTTTGGTTTTTTTTTTTTTGTAACTCATGGAAGAATATGCAGAATACCAAAAAATAAGTGTGCTTATCTTTATACAGGAAGAGATGGGCCAGCATTGTAGCCTGTGGTTAAGGCAGCCAGATCCTACATGGCTGACGACCATTTGAATCCCAGTGTTTGTCGCCTGAAAAACACACCAGTCGTGTGTGTGTGTGCATGCCCCAAATCTCAACATGATGAAGAAATGGAAGAGCAAGGATTGCACAATGACCATACCCCAGTGGGGGTTGATCTCTCTCTCTCTCTCTCTCTCCCCCGCCCCTCATCTTTGTCTGGTGAGCACACGGACCCTTTGACAGTTTTTGTTTATTTTGTTTTTGTTTTTGTTAAGAAAACAAATGACTAAATAATTCTAGTCTGGCAATTCTCAATATCTGAGAAAAATCTAGGGAAGAAAAATTGAATGGGAAAATTTAAAATAACAAAAGAAATTCAATATCTAAGAAAAATCTAGGGAAGAAAAATTGAATGAGAAAATTTAAAATAACAAAAGAAACTGGTATATCTTAAAGTAGGGTTAGCTTAAGAGTTTTATAATAAATATAGATAAACTTTAGATCTTAATTAAATTTCCTCTGATTCCGAATACTTTAGATTCTCATAATTTGTATTCTCAGTCAATGATACCAGGTACATAGAGTAAATAATACTGGATAATTGTACCTTCATATACGTCTATTGCATCACATATTAATTTGTATGCTTTATTTCAGGATTTATCTTCCAAAAGATCTTGGTCTTAATCTAATTTGCAGCCTCAGTGTGACACACAATTCCCAATAAATTCTCGAATATATTAAGTTCCACTAACATACTACGAGTTAATGCTTTTTACTAGACAATTGGAAAAGAGCATATGAAGTTAACAATTACAGATAAAAATGTAGGAAAAGCAAAGAGAATGAGTTCTAGTTGATTTCATTTTTCCTTTCATGTATATTATTCTTTTATCTATATAGAGAATAGGAGGGAGTTTTTAACATAGAGGATATTTAGGAAGAAACTAGATATCCTTAACACCCAGGAAGAAAACCAGTGTTGACATTCATGCATTCTTAGTTTTTCATTAAGTACATGTGTTCAGCTCTATCTTGTCAGTAGTCATTATTTTACTTAGATTTTTGTCTTCATTTTTTCAAAAGTTTACTTATTATTCTGTGAACAAGAGAAACTGAAAGATAGAGAGACGGGCACACCCTATGCAGTAATGTCAATACCTACCCCCAGTTTTAACCAATCCCAAATCACGGATACACGTGTGCCTGACTTACTCAAAGAAGCCCCCGCCCCCAACAAAACCCGGAATGTTTCAAGTTGAGTCAACCCTGTCGAACATTGCCACGCTACCATTCAGCCCCCTCATTTTCATTTTTACATTAAAAAAGATGGTACCAGGGACCTGCAGTAATGCAGTGGTAACACAACACTCTGCAATGTCAGACCCACATGGGAAGCTCCCAGTTCTTCATAAAATAATTTTTAAATCATCTGAAAATCTTTATCATCTGAGAATCTTTATCATCCTTTATCATCTGAGAATCTTTATCATCTTAATGATGAACTCAGTGGTAACACTAACAATAACCTGATGCCATTTGCTGAGTCAAATGCCAAAGCAGCCAGTTCTCTGGAGGTTAACAATAAACTAAGAATTTGAAATAGGGAAATATCTCTATACAAGCAGAACAAAGTTTTATATGAAGAAGTTCAGGATAGAAATAAAAGAGACTAAAAGACAGCCACACTAGGGAAGTGATTTGGGGAAGAAGGGATCAGCACATACAAGCTTCAAAGTAAAAGCTTCAAGATTTATTTCTGCAGTTCTATATCTGCTAACTTCTATTACAGATGGAAAATTTTCATTCTTTTTTTTTTTTTGGAGAGATTTTCACTGTAGGGCGCATGTGCTCACCAGACAGACAGACAGAGAGAGACATAGAGACAGAAAGCGAGAAATCACCCCCCAGGGGGGATGGTCACGCCGCAATTCCTTCTCCTCCATTCTCCTCTCGGGATCTTGGGCACGCACGCACACGCGCCCGGCGTGAGTTTTAAGCCACCGGGTCCGGGACACGAACCGCGGTCGACTACGTGGGAGTCCAGCGACATAGCCATTAAGCTAACTGCTGGTTTCCAAAATTTTCATTCTTAAGATCATTAAAATAATAAAAATTAAACTTGAGAAAGATATAAAAGATTTCTTAAAAATACTGAAAGAATTTAAATTGTTTAAAAAGGGTATATAAATTTGTGCCCAATGAACGAAAAACTTGTGAGAATGATGTTGGAAAAAAGATTCCTTGTTGAAACAAGTCTCGAAAAGCACTAAAAAAAAGTAATTATTTCAGTCAAAATGAGAAATGTAGAATAGCCTAAGACTAGCTGCAAAATCTTCATCTTACAAGACTTGCAAGCAAAATACACACTTTACTCTGGTATCTTTCTCAACAAAATTGTAGACTTTTTGATATTTTACCTGAGTGTTCTAATGCTCCACAATATTTGACAAGGGATTCAGGGTTCGTTATCAGTTTTTGAAAATAAATCCCTTTGTGATTCTATGCTACATCTTATTTTAGATATATGCCACAACTGTAAATATTTGTGTCAACTGCTTTAATGAATAGTTAATTTATGTGGGATTATGATTTGTTTAATTTCATAGACAAATGAAGTTTTCATAACCACTAAGAAACATGAAGTTCATATACTCACATTAAGATGTCAATTACATTGTCACTTAACACTACCTGGACATGCATTATAATTTAGCATGTCCTTCATCCAATAGTCACATCCTTTCTTTGGAGAAAGGCAATAAAGGACACAGCCTCACAGTTGGTCCTGAGTTACGTTGGGTAATTACTAACCAAATTAGACTGATTATTGCAGGGACCTCCTTACTGGTAATTTTTGTTTTCCTATTTCCTAGAGCAATCTATCCATTCATTCATTCATCTATCTTATCTCTGAACTATATCTCTGTCTTGTTTAAGGCTATCAAATGTGAATTGTGTTTCTAATACGTGTAAAGTATATACTAAGTACAGTGATATGGACAAGAAATGCAAAGTTTAATTAAACATATCTTGACTACTGAAGGAGTTCACAACTTCGAGGCAGAATCAGATATACAAACAAAAATGAATCATAAGTGAATAGAATAGAGGAATTCATAATGTGTAAGTATAGTAGTTTAACTATGTTCATATATTTGTCATGATAAATTTGTATGAATCTTTTTACCTTACAAAAGGCTTTTGAGCATATCAAAGCACTGTTCTGTGTGGATAATATTTGAATGAATTTTTCTTATGAAAGAGAAATTATGTAAACTAAAGCTTACCTTTCTTCCTCTACCTATAAAAAGAAAAGAATAAATGTTATTTTATGGAGAATGGATGATAAGAATATAATAAATATTTACTTTCAATAAACGTTGTCTTTGTGGAATCAGAATTTAACTTTAAAAATTATTCTAACACCAATAGACAGAACTTTTGTATCAGTATTTTGAATTTTGTATCAGTATTTTCAAAAAAGGCAAAATAATACATCACTTAGGAAAATTCTGACAATATTTTAATGTTCTTCACATAAAGCAAGGTTCATTAGAGTATAAAATTGACTCTTAAAGTTCTAATGACTTTTTTTCAACAATATTTTTATTTTTGTTTTTTATACATTTTATGACAGTCTTTTCTTTCATGAGTCAAAAACCAAAGTGTATTACACAATGAATAATCTCATTCTAACGTGTCCTTTTATCCTTTCACTCTCTATAGGAAACCACTATTACTGGTTTCTTGTATGTTCTCAAGTTTTTTTGCATATATAAGCAAATACTAATGTGGACTCTTATTTTTCTGCTTTTTTCCCCACACTGTTCTACCTTCGTCTTTATATGTTATCGATCTTTAAATCCTTGAGAACTTTGCTTATCAGTAAATAATCCCCTTATCGCTTCTAATAAAATTATATTGTGCAAATCTACTATAATGTATTTAGCTGACCTTCACCTTTTCCCCATAATGGACACTGGAATTGTTTTCAAACTTTTATTATTACCATGGTATAGTTTATCACCCAGCAGGACAGTTTTAGAATAAAAGTGAGTGCAGTTGTCCATTATGCCAAGAAAATTGGTGCAATTTGTGGTTTTCCTGAACAAACTGAGATGAATGATCATGATCATGCTAGCAATTATACATAATCCTATAATAAATAAGAGTTACAGAAGTGACCACATGCAAGGATATTTGTAGGGTAAATTCTCCATTACTCTTTTTGAGTCAGAGTGAAAGTATTTGTAATTTGATATATATTACCAATATCCCATGATAGAGATTATACTGTTTTTACACTCCCATAATCAATATACACATTAACCCACATGCCAATACACAGTGATATCCAGTGATGCTATAAAACATTTTAATTTTGGTCAGTCTGATAGGTAGAGCATGATAACATAGTGCAGTTTTAAGTGCATTTATTTTATTAGAAGGAAATTAGACAACCTTGTCATATATTGAGGAACCATTTATCTCTCTATTTTTGAATTAGCTTATTTTGCCCATTTTTGATTGGATTATTGGATTTGTGATCATTTATATCTAGGAGCTATTTATATAGAAAGAATAATCTTTTGTGAATTGAACTCCATTTTTGCTCATTTTTGTATCATACAAGTGATTTTTTATGAATTTGTATGGCTTCTGGACTTTGAGTCTGAATTAAGAAGATCTCTATTTCAGGACTATGGAGAAATCCCCCTCTGTTATCTTTATAACTATTATGACTTAATTTTTCTTAAGTCCTTGATTTATTTAGAATTTTTTCCTAGTGTAGAATGTACTTCCAAACATTCATGGAAAAATGTATTAGAGTAAGTTTATTTTGGTTTGGAGAGAAATCAAAATCCATGCATAGGTATTTTATAATACACACTTTCCATGAACTTTTGAGAACCTCTCTATGATTATTAGGACTTCAATATTTTCCAGATAATTACCTAGCCATTCCAACCAGATTTGTTAAATAATTCTTCTTTCTCTACTACTGAGATACCATCTTTATCATATCCAAACTGATGGATCTACTTCAATCCTTCTTATTTTATTCCACTGAATTATAGCTACTCATGTAGCTAGATCACATTATGTTAATTAATGAGTGTATTAAATATATTTAGATATATCGTGGGGCTAGCCTTTACATTTTTTGTTTTTAATTTTCCAGAGGGCATGTGCTCTCAACAGAGAAAGAGAGAGGGAAAGTGAGAAAGCAACCTCTCATGAAGGACGACCATACCACAACTCCTTCTCCTCCATTTCCACTTTTAGGATTTATGCATACATGCACATGCATTCAGCATGTTTTCAAGCAACCAGATCTGATACTAAAACTGCATAGTCAGACGTGTGGCATCCGGCTGCCTTTACCACCATGCCACCGGTTGGTCCAGTCATCACTTACTCTTCTTTCTATAGGTTTGCTTGACTATTGTTGCTCATTTATTCTATATAAATTTGTATTTACAATGTGTCAAATTATAGAGGAAAGCATGTTATGCCTTTATTGAGCTCACATTTAAATTATTAATTAACTTATGGAAAAATGATGTGTTTGTAATATTTAGTCTTTCTAATTGAGAACGTAATATAATGTGTTTTAAAATCTTCATTTGAGGACTTGCTAGGTGGTGTGGTGGTTAAAGGCTCTGGACTCCCACATGGCCAGCCTCAGTTTGAGTCCCACCTGATGGCTTGCTTTCTCATTTTCTCTCTCTTTCTCTCTCTCTCCTTTCCCCCTATTATCAAATTTAAATAAATAAATAAATAAAAATAAGTAAATATAAATAAAATAATACTTAAAAAATCTTCATTTGAATGAGTAGTATTTTAAAGTTTCCTCCAAAAATATCCTGTACATTTTATGTTATCTTTATCCTTAGGCATCTGATGCTATTATAAATAATTTTTATTCCCATTAATTATTCTATGATGTAATTACATATACATCATAAATCTATTTTTTTTTGTTAATCCAGTGTTGCAATATATTACTGAATTAATTGGTACAATTTTTTACTCAATTCTCAGGTTTTGTAAGAACAAAATTATCTTTTTTTAAATGGTTAATTTTAGCTCCTAGTTTCTAATTTCTAAAGCTACGATTTCTTTTTTCTTTTTTTTTGTTGGGGGGAGGTTTTTGCTATAGGGCGTGTGTGCTCGCCAGAAAGACAGAAAGAGATAGAGAGACAGAAAGAGAGAAATCACCCCCCGGGGGGGGATGGCCACACCTCAATCCCTTCTCCTCCATTCTCCTTTTGGGATCTTGGGCATGCACACACAACTCCCGGTGTGAGTTTAAGCCACCAGATCTGGGACTCGAACTGTGGTCGGCTACATGGGAGTCCAGCGACATAGCCATTACGCTAACTGCTGGCCCCTTCTTTTCTAATTGTTTATTCAGACACATGCACTACTGTTACATGGTAGTGATGATAATAGATAGTAATTCTACTATTGAGTTTAGAGGGAATGCTTTTAAAAATATCATGTGAAATGTCCATTTATTATTGAGTTATTGTTTTTTATCGAGATTGTTATTGATTTTGTCAACTATCTTCACCTCGATTAAGGGGAAAGCATATACTATACCTTATGTCCCACAAATATGTTAAGATAATTACTTATTTATATCAATAGTTTTTCTAATACTGAATTATTCCTGCACTTAAATAATCTCCACTTTTTGATGAAGTAATTATTTTTAATATGATAATAGATTAGCTATTTTATTCATGATCTGAAAAATCTTTATTAGATTAGTCTATACTTAATATTTTGTGGGATGATAAATATGTTCTCTAGATAACCTCTTGGATAACCTTAGTGGACTTCATAGAAAATTAATAAAAATATATCTTGGACAACAAATGACCATAGTAAGTAATGCAAGGAATTCTTGAATCAGACCTAGTCAGCTAAAAGTCAGTCAAAATTTTCTCTAATATTTAAGAGGGCAGAAAATTGATGTTTGCTTCTATTGAACTTTAGATAAAGTGGGTCAGTAAAGTCATTCATTCTTAGAGTCACTGAAAATGCTTAGTTATTCTATTGGAGGTGGAAAACAGAGTGAAAAACACTGCAACTATAAAGATGAATCACTGAATCAATTCTAAGCCAGCTCTAAGCACTCTTACCAAAATTGGTATTGCCACCCCCGGGTGTATGTGGGCAGACAGGACAGCACTCCCCGGTGGGAGTTACCGGATTGGCACAAGTGAGCACTTCCGCGCACTGTATGGTGTCACACAGAATGGCTCCATTGTCACAGACGCAGATCTGGCAAGGAGAAGGTTTCCAAATGTCCCTGTTTAAGTATATCTGGCCATGCTGACTGCAGGTTATTTCTTCCTCATAGTCAATTTCTGAAAGAAGAAAAACAGGGAAAAAAATTTGATAAATCTAAAATTTTATAATTTGGAATATATTTTAAAAGATGAATCATCTTATAGATTCTAAAAAAAAAATCTAAGTAGCCTCCCAGACATGTATAAACTTACTTTATTTACATGCAAAATAATATATCATTTGCCATAAAATTAATTCATTACTTACAACTTTATGTTATAGAGGTAGGGGGTGAGACCAGCAGTTGGAGTAATGGCTATGTCACTGGATTCCCATGTAGTTGACCACAGTTCAAGTCCTGGACCCAGTGGCTTAAACTCATATTGGGCATATGTGTGTGCATGCCCAAGATCCTGAAAGGAAAATGGAGGGGAAGGGATTGGGGGGTGGCCATCCCCCCACCGGGGGGGTGATTTCTCACTTTCTCTCTCTGTGTCTCTCTCTGTCTTTCTGGTGAGTGCAGGTGCCTTATAGCAAAATCCTCTCCAAAAAATAAAATAAAATAGAGGTAGGGAGAAAAAAAGTGATCCAAAAGAGATACATATCTTAACCAAAAAAAGCATCTTGCTAGATATTATTTTGGAAGGTATGAATGATCAAGCATGAGCTTAGTAAAGAGAGTTTTAAATTAGTCATTTGACAAGAGGAAAAAGGGAAAAGAAAAGATATAATTTTAGTGTTTGGTGAACATTATATGACTTCCACATTACTAAAAGCTTTACAATAGTAAACTCATGATAGACAATTTGAAGGGACTTCAAAAATGTTATGGAAAAATGGAATTAGTTTGCTAAGTTGATTTTGGTACAGAAATATTTTGAAATTCATGCACAGTTTTGTTTTTATAATATGCATTTTCCATGAACTTTTTAAAGACACCTTATGTGTATTTGTGTACCATGGAGAAAAACTTAAAAAAAATTGGCATATGGGTTTTTAAAAATTATTTTACAACATGAAGTTAAAATGAATAATCTGTCCCATTTCATAGAGTAGATTATCATTCATATTAGATATCTTAGCTAAAGGTGCTTATCAAACTGTAACAGAAACACAACACTTTTACAGGTAATGAGTTAGTTAGCTCTGCATCAACATTTATTTAGAAATTCATAACCAACACAATATAATTAATTATTACACAATATCTGTCAAATACTTTTTTATTTTTTTGGAAAGGTTTTCGCTATAGGGCACGTGCGCTCGCCAGACAGACAGAGAGAGACATAGAGACAGAAAGCGAGAAATCACCCCCCAGAAGGGATGGTCACGCCGCAATCCCTCCTCCTCCATTCTCCTCTCGGGATCTTGGGCATGCCCACACACGTGTTCGGCATGAGTTCTAAGCCACCGGGTCCGGGATGTGAACTGCAATCGACTACGTGGGAGTCCAGCAACATAGCCATTACACTAACTGCTGGTTCCCAAATACTTTTTGATATTTAGATAAAATTTTAAGAAAGATTAATATATATACACATTTGCACACACAATAATAGCAGTTATATTAAACCTTTATTATCAAGTAAACACATGTGCTACATTTTTAAACTGTCATTTTACAAGAAACAAAATTATAACATTATAACATATAGTATTTGCCAACCCCACAGTTTAGAGGTTAAGCACTGTTCATAGAGCCAGTTCCACATGGCTAGCCTTAGTTGAAATTACAGTCCCAGAACCCCAGCATTTGTGTGTGTGCACCCAAAATCCTTATAGGATAAAGAAACAAAAACAAAGAGATTTTTGGCATGACCACACACCATTGTGGGGTTCTCTCTCTTTCTCTTTCTCTCTTTCTGGCAAGCACATATGCCCTCTGGCAATTACAAAAATAAGATAAAAATAAAAATAAAACAGAATATGAACTGAGCCAGCCAGTGGCATGGTGGTTAAGGCTGCTGGATCTCACATGGTTGACTATGGGTTCTAGTCATGGATCTAGTGCCCTGAAAACCTTATCTGGCACATGTGCATGTATGCCCAAAATCCTACACATACACACGCATCTCTGTCTCTCTGTCTTTCTGTGTCTCTTGTGAGTACACATGCACTCTGGCAAAAAAAAAAAAAAGAAAAGAAAAGAAATAAAAGAAGTATGGGTCATATCACCCTAACAAAATCCTTCATTGGTTTCCCAACTACTTAAATTCAGAACTCCCATCAAAGGTCTACAGGTCTTACTTCCCAGTCTCTGCCAAATAGATCCCTTTGCCTGACACTATCTCTTCCCCTTTTTATGGCAAACTAATGTGTCTTGTTTCATTGTCACCTCCCCCCTACATTTTTCTCTGACTATCCTACACACATTAGGTTTCCTTTACCCAATCGATACAATTCAAAGAACTCCTTCATTCAGCAATTCATTCATTCCTTGTGTGTTATACACGAGGTAAAGATGAGTTACTAAAATGTGAACAGATAGGCAAAAATCACTGCCTTTATGAAATGTATTGCAATGATATTAATTTATTTACTTTTATTTGTTTATTATCTTGTCTCCTCCATCAGAACGAAAACTCCTTGAAGGTAAATGTTAACTGTCTCTTGTTGGTTACTGTATTTCGAACACTTGACACTGCACCTTTCATAGAGTATTTATTTATTCAACAAATATTCATCCAAAGGATAAATATGAATGAACACATGGATCTAAATTATGGATCAATAACTTAATTAAACAGCATTAACATTATACTTTGAAAAATAACAAGACATTTATAACTGTATTAGTGGGCCACCATGTAAGCTAGTAGCTAAGGGAGCCAATCCTCAAGGGCTAACCGAGGTTTGAATCCTGTCCCAGCAGCTGGAAAATCATACTGGACGTATGTATATACATGTCCCAAACCCCATCAGAATGGAAAAATAGAGGAGAGAAATCGCAGTGTACTCATATCCCATTGGAAGATGCTTTCACCTTCTCTTTCTCTCCATCTGCCTATCTCTCTCTCTCGTCTATGCACATGTCCTCTGGCAACTTAAAAAAGAAATATTTGTAATCAATTTCTGTGTTTATTATTTAGCACATAAATGTGCACAAATGGGATCAGCTGGTCCTGTGGTGGTTAAGGCACCTGATCTCACATAGCCAACTGCATGGATGGGGTCCTGGACCTGGTGGCTTACACAAGCTGGGCCCATGTGCATGTGTGCCCGGAATCCTGACAGGAGAAAACGAAGAAAGGGAATTGCAGTGTGGCCATTGCTCCCAGGGAATGCTTTCTCACTTTCTTTCTCTCTCTCTCTCCCTGTCTATCTCCAGTGAGCAAAAGCACCCTATAACAAAATTTAAATACATATACACACTTATACATACGTATGTATGCTAAAATGATAATACTGATGAAAATTATTTCAGTTTAGAATAAAGGTATTAATTAAAGAATCTACATTATATTATTTTTATTTGTCAATTATACCTCAATAATACTGACAAAATAACATTCTTCTCACTTCGTTATGAAATCTATTGTTTCACATATTTAGTTTTTTTAGCTTTGGAGGGTTTTTATTTTTTTTGAGAGATTTTTTTTCTATAGGATGCACGTGCTGACTGGAGAGACAAAAAGCAAGAAATCAACCCTCATGGGTAATGGCCATGTCACAGTCGGTTTTCCTCCATTCTACTCTTGGGATTTTGGGCACATGTGCATATGTGCCCAGTATGAATTTCAAGCTATCAGGTCCAAGACTCAAAGTGGAGATGGATACATGGGAGTCCATCACCTTAACTACTACGCGACCTGCAGGCCCCACACATACTGAGTATTTGATAAATGAAAAATTGCTTTCAGAGAATAACATCCTCATGGTCTTTGTGATATTTTGTAATAATATTGAGTTTCTAAGTCTCTGCATCAAAAAACATTTATTGGGGAACCAGCAGTTAGTGTAATGGCTATGTCACTGGACTCCCATATAGTCGACCGTGGTTCAAGTCCCGGACCCGGTGGCTTAAACTCATGCCAGGTGCATGTGTGTGCGTGCTCAGGACCCTGCAAGGAGAATGGAGAAGGGATTGCAACCTGGCCATCCCCTCCCCCCCGGGGGGGTGATTTCTCACTTTCTGTCTCTCTGTCTCTCTCTGTCTTTCCGGCGAGAGCATGCGCCCTATAGTGAAAATTTCTAAAAAACAAACACAAACAAACAAACAAACAAAAACATTTTTAGGGGCCAGCAGGTGGCTTGGTGGTTAAGAATGCTGAACTCCCACATGGCCGACTGCAGTTCGAGTCCCAGACCTGGTGGCTTGCTTTCTCTCTGTCTCTCTCTATCTGTCTCTCTGTCTCTCTCTGTCATGTTATTACTCTCACTCACTCTGATCAAATTAAAAATAAATACATAAAGTAAAATAAACTAATTCTTTAAAAAATTTATTATGTAATACATAGCTAATCAATAAAATATGCTAATTTTGTATACATAGTGATATTTAAACATTTAAAACCAAAACATTTTAGTATGCTTTTCTTTTCTTTCTATTTTTTTTTTGAAGGGGTTTTTTTCTATAGGGTGTGTGCACTCACCAGAAAGGCAGAGAGACAGAGAGACAGAAAGCCAGAAATCACTCCCCAGGGGGGATGGCCACGCCGCAATATCCCTTCTCCTCCCTTCTCCTCTCAGGATCTTAGGCACACACGCACATGAGCCTAGTGTGAGTTTAAGTCACTGGCTCCTGGACTCGAACTGCAGTCAACTGCATGGGAGTCCAACAACATAGCCGTTATGCAAACTGCTGGTCCCTAGTATGCTTTTCTTCAAGACAATTTTTTTAAATAAAAAAATACATCAGAAAAGCAGTGTGGTTTTTAGATGAAATGCTTTTTAAACCAGTGTTGCTCCATGAAGAACACTTGCATAAACACAACCTGTGTAAAACTGGGTTTATATCCAAAGTCCATTAAGTAATCCCACTAAATAGATTATGTAAGAATAATTTTGCTCATTAAGTTTTATGATTGAGAAAAAAAATTATCCAATTACAAGTGGTAAATATCGCTGCCTGAAAATG